CTCCACCTATAGTACTAAAGATTTACATTTATTTTTTTTTCTTTTACATATATTTACAAAACAAAAAAAAAATAATTGTAAAAGGGGACTATGTAATGATACAGAATAATCATTACATTAATTCTTACCATATATGCAGCGCGCTCTAGTAACAAGCTTTAGCGTAAGCGTAAAACACCAACTACAGGACTCGAACAGAAAAGACCCCTACATCATTAAAAATATAGAAGAAATCTACATCATTTCAAATAAAGAAAAAAAAAAAAAAAAAACTACTTCGTGTCAAAATCTACATCGTTTCAAAAGAAAAATGGCACCAAGGAAAGGATACAATTAGCAGAGAAGAGTTCAACGATCTCAAAAGAGAAATTGAACAACACAGTCAAAGCTTGGTCAACCAACTAAAACAGAAAATTGCAGACAATGAAGAAAAATGTTCACAGAAAATTATCAACATTGAAGAAAAATACCAAAAAAAAATTGAAGAACTAGAAGATGAATTAAATGAAATGAAATGAAATTATAATAATCTAAATAAAAAACAAACCTATACAAATAATATGAGACCAGAACCAAGTCACATCAGTGAAATGACACGTCCGTCATTTTTTGGGAGCAACCGCGACATGCATCCTATTGACTTCCTACATCGTCTCGACGAATATTTCGCCGTCAAACAATTCTATATCGGAGAAAAAATAATCGTAGTGGGAGATTGCCTAAAAGGGACAGCATTCAATTGGTTTTCGACCATACGGTTTCAACTGAGAGACTATGACGATTTTCGAAAGGCATTCATCGACGAATATTGGTCGAGAGAGATTCAAATCCAAATCTGGAGCCAGTGCTTAAGTATAACACATGTACCACAAAATAATAATTTTAGGGAGCACTTCGCGACATGGGCCACCAAACTGAGGCACCTAGAAGTACCGCGCCTATCAGAACCAGAGATAGTCAAACACATCGCCAAGTACTATCCAGGCTATTTAAGGGCCATTCTAGTATCAATGCCGGAACGAACAATATTATCAGCGATGAAAATATTAGGCGAAGAAGGACAAAATCAACCGCGGAAAGATGATACCCGTCATCAACCTAATAATAATAATCAACAGGAAAATAATCGTCCGAACAACAGTTCAGAGGGACAAGCAACACAAAACAATTGGAATAACAGGTCCAACAATCGAAATAATAATCGCAACAACGATTATCAACACAATAATCGAAACAATGATTATCAACACAATAATCGCAACAACGATTATCAACACAACAATCGAAACAACAATCGACACAATAATCAAAACACATCTAGAGAAAATAATCAACAAATTCACCAAGTCTCCACAAGCAATGACAGTAATGAACCCGGACAAACCATTAATCAAATGGAAGGAAATGGTGAGTCATTTAGTCCGTACATACAATGTCTCATTGAGGGTGAAGAGGTAGAAGTGCTAGTGGACACTGGAGCAACAATCAGTGTGTTAACCAAAGAAGTGGTCGACACCATAATTAAGAAAAATCCCCGAATACCGCAGCTACCTATCACCGGCGTAAAAATAAGTAATGCTGTTGGTAAACAAATCTGCAAAACATCAAAACAAGTATTTTGTCAATTTAAAATCGGAGAGGCCACAATAGTATCAAATTTCATACAAGTTGAGGGACTCAATGAAAGAGGCATCATAGGCTCAGATATATTAAACAAATATAACATGCAGATTGATTTCGACAACTATACAATCAGAATGAAAATAGCAGGACAAATCTATTTCGTACCGTTTTCAAAAAAACTACCGAAAGTTACCGCACCTCAAGGCAATCTGAGAGAAGTCACCGTCCAGGAGTGTAACGAAGAACGTAAAAATAATCAAGTGATGATTAGTGATGAAGAAAACGAACAATTCGAACAACTTGAACAATTACAGCGAGCTGATCCAAAGCTAGCAAGGATATTATTACAACTAGATAACAAAAAACGCGACGAAAGGTTTCTTGTATTCAATAAGTTGTTATTCACAAAGAACCCGCAAGGTCAACACCTGTTAATGATACCACAAACAATGAACAATGCAATCATCACCGAAACGCATGAAAAATATGGACATCTAGGACCTCTAAAGATTTACCAAATGCTACATCGACAATATCAATTATTTAACATGTACCGAACAGTCAAGCGAATCATAAAAACTTGTGACCTATGTCAGAAATCAAAATGCGCCAACCAAGGAGCAAGGGGACCAACAGGGACCATCCTACCCACTGAACCACTTCAAATCGTCTCTCTTGATCTAATGGGACCATTACCAAGGGGACAAGGTGGATCAAAATACATACTTGCTATATTAGATATCTTTTCAAAATATATTCAATTATATCCACTTAGAAAAGCAACCACTGACACTATCCTCAAGCGCATTACTCAAGAATACATACCAAAGATCGGAAAAATGAAGTCCATACTCACCGACAACGGTACGCAATTTCACAGCAACAAATGGTATAATGTACTAACCCTCATGAACGTGAAAATATTGCATACAACTCCGTATCATCCAGAAGGCAACCCGGTAGAAAGAGCAAACAGAGAGATCGGCAGGATGTTGAGAACCTACTGTCACAAGAAACACACTGCTTGGGTAAGATGGCTTACCAATATCGAATATTGGATAAACCACGCTACTCACTACTCCACAGGCTTTTCTCCAACACAGGTTCTTCATGGTACTGAACCAAACCTGAGCATAAGTAAGAAAATTCACTACCCAGAGAATACCATTCTACCTGACCACAAAGGGATAATCGAAATCGTAAGAACCAAATTAAAACACCAATCAGAAAAACGCAACCAACAAAAGGACAAAAATAAAAAATTCCCAAAATATGAAGAGGGACAACAAGTGTTAATAAAGGAACATAAACTATCATCCGCAGAAGACCGAGAGATACACAAATTTTTCCTTTTGTACAAGGGACCATACACTATACAATCAGTGAACCAAAATAACACAATTACAGTATGCAATGATCAAAACATCATATCAACACACAGCATGAAGAATGTCAAACGGTACATGCCCCCAGATCCAGGGAAGAGCAGTATTGAAGACACCTCTGCAAGACTATAAATAAAAACACCAATGAAACCATGTTGTCATTTGTCCTCATAATTATCATAGCATAATTTTATATATTTCCAGATGGACGACAACATGGCAAACGAACATCTAAATGATCATTTATATTATTTAATGATTGAATTGTTTAATAACGATTATTTAGATGAAGATAATCAACTACTATCCATTAGAAAACCTCGTGAAACACATGAAACACTACAACGTCTAGACATGCAACAAAAACAAAAGACAATTGAAGAGAAAAAAGCAGAAGCTAGATGTTTGCGCATAAGACAAGCACAAATTACCCAATACTCCATCGAACCAACATTCATGATACCTGACACTGTACAACTGGTACGAAAAGAAAACCAACCAAATACACAAGCAGCCATACAAACCCTTGAAGAAGAAACCCACAATGAAGAATTACAAATACACATTGACAACACTGAGCAACAAGCCATCGAAAAGGAAACCCCAGCTGAAGCAGAGGAAAAACCCCTTAGTAAACGCGCAAGAAAGAAAATGAAGTGGGTAGAGAACATCGGGAAAAATAAAAGAAATGAGTAAAATCATATTCCTGGATTTTGCTGATCCTTCATCCAAACACATCTACAATGGAAAAGGTATCCATCTGTAGCAATCCGAAAAATTTACATTGATTTTTTTTATTATTCTCTTTCACATATATATATTAAACAAAAAAAAAAAAAATAAATAAATGTAAAAGGGGACATGAGTAGGAGAAACATCGTGATCGTAACGAGGAAGGGATTCGGATTTGGTTGGAACGTAACAGGGAGCAATTTTGGAACAAAAAACTTCGAACCAGTCTTCATTGTCGGGGCGAGTTAGGGGAGTTATACAATTTTTAAATCTCCTAGCAACAGACCAGAGGTGTTGTATGGAATTAGACGGTACTAAGTTTGAACAAAAATGCTTCCAATTATTTCTCTTGGCGTTTTTAAGGGTTCGAGTAGTATGGGCGCAAGCGTTTTGATATGAAAGGAAATCAGTAATAGAGCCGGTACGTCTGAAGGTTCTGAAAAGTAGGGACCTATTGTTGACCAATTTCGTGCAGGTGGGGTTCCACCATGGAGGGGAGGGTGGAAATATTTTTTTTGTTGGTATTATGATGGGTATTGTTGCATTAGCGGAATTAACTATAATATTAGTGAAAGATGAATAGGACATTGTTGAGGATATATTATCAGATAGGGCGGAAAATGAATTTTGTATTAGGAGAGAGTAGGCTGCCCAATCAGCTTTATTGAAATTATAGTATATTGGTTTATATTGGTTAGGGTCAGAATGGGTAGTGGAGAGAAAAATGTTAGTGGTAGAGCTTGAGTTTAACTTTATTATAATCGGAATGTGATCACTGCCATGAGGGTCACTTAATGTGTGCCAAGATAGATTCCAAATAAGATCGGAAGAGCAAATGGAGAGGTCCAAGGCTGAGTCGGTAGAATTTAAGCGCCCAATGTGGGTTGGACTGCCGTCATTTAAGATACAGAGGCCGAGTGAGTCAATTATATTGTATATATGATTTCCACGACGCGAAAATGAGTTTGATCCCCATGCGGGATGAAAGGCGTTGAAGTCTCCACATAGTAGAGAGTTTCGCGTTACTAGGTTGAAAATAGTTTGCCAGAGGTTGATGGGAACATTTATATTGTTAGGGATATAACAAGACCATAATTTTAAAGGATTAGAAGAATCTGATCCTAAAACCTCTACTCCGATGAGGTCGATATTGTGATGGGAGAGTCTATCTCTAGTAATATCGTTGATGGGAATAAGATTAGTTTTAAAAGAGTTATGAATGGCAATAGCTACGCCACCATAACCATCAGGTCGGTCGAATCTGAAGGTTTTGAAGTCTGGTAATTTAAAAGTACGTGAAGGGAGTAGCCAGGTTTCCGATAAGATCGCTATGGAACATTTGTGAGTGGTGAGTAAATGCTGTAAAGAAGGAAGTCGGGCTGTAATACTTCTAACGTTCCATTGCAGTATATTGTAGTTGTTAATGAGATGTTTATCATCGAAATTTTGGGACATGTTAGGTAATTTAGTTATTATGAATTATAGAATCGTTGAAAATATGGACATTACCTAATCGGTTGTAACAAAATTTGGAACGGCGAGGAGGGAAGTTAATGACGACTCAATTAGGTTCTGAAGATATGACGGGGAAAAAGGAGAGGAGAGTGAAGGTGCGTTTATAAGAGATTCGGATAATTTGAGGGATAGGGTGTGTATCCAGGAAAAGTCATTATCGTTTGCATCGGGCGACTTAATTAGGCCATTGGGATTAATTAAGTAGCTCCCGTTTGGGGTGGTATAAGAAGAATCAACAGGTAAGAAATATTTTTTTTTATTGTGCACCTGGGATGGATTAGATATGTATTTTTTTTTTTTTTTATTATTGAAGAAATGGTGGGAATTGTTTAAACTAGGAAAGTGATCATTCTGGAGAGAAGTGTCGATTTCGATGTTTTCAGAGATATGAGGCTGGCTGTTTACAATATCGGAATATTTAAAGGCTGGTGTGTAACATTTATTTTTCTTAAATATTAACGCGTCTTTGTAGGATAGGTTTTCTGTCGCCATGATTTTTTTAATATCCTTTTGAAGTAACCATTCCCGACAGGAACGGTCAGTGGCTAGGTGAGGAAGTTTGCAGTACAGACAGATCGGGTCGGTGGCTTGTGTGGAGGGGCACGAGTCAATTGAGTGCTTGGTTTCACCGCAGTGACTGCATCTAGCTTCACTTCGGCAGTATTTTTGGGTGTGTCCGAATCTTAAACAGCGGTTGCATTGGACAGGGGAACGGATGCTGGGCATAACTTCGAATATCATATTGTAGATAGAAATGACGGATGGTATTTTAGGTGCAATGAATTTCAGTTCTACTGTGCGAGTTTGGATGGTTTTTCCATCTTTCTGAATAGAGATGCGTTTGAATGCCTCTATTGTAACAGGTGAACATTGACCCTCGAAAAATTCTTCTTCGGAAATATTAATGTCTAGTTTAATGATTCCATACGAGTATATGAGGCTGCTGGGAATATTTACGTGAAACCCGTTAGAGCGCGGAATATCAGAATTTAAGCGATTATTGCTGTTGCTGCGACACATTGCTCTTATTGATATGCGATATGCAGACAACACGGCGGCGGCGACCCGTCCTTATCTCTCTCCCTCTTCATCGTCCTATAACTGTTACTCGTATGTTATGTGAATTATAATCACCTATATAAATTTATTATTATTGTTATCGTTGTCGTCATATTGTTTTGTTTTAATATCATCTGTTTTAATTTATTATTGTTGTGATTACGCGGCCAACGCCCTTATTATTGTTTTTTTTTTTAGTATCATTAAGTCTTGTAAACATTCAGTCGCGAATTATTATTGTTATAGTTTTTTACTACCGTCTCCGTTGCTACTGAAGCAACGTGAAGTTTTAATATTATTCATTACGATCACGTCCCGAAATTTTGTTTAATTGCCACTGCGGCACTACGTTGTATACTTACTGTTCTGTCATTGCGACACATATTATAGTGTTGTTATTACCCTTACAATAAACAACAACCATTGCCAGCATTTACGTGAGTTATTTTGTATTTGTGTGTATGTGTATAATATCATCGTGTACTTGGCTACACTAACTCGCCATTGAAGACAACGTCGGACGGTGCTCTTCAGTAACCCGAGATTGGGATTGGTGCCGTCGTTCATTGCGTAAGACCGCCAGCACCCGACGTGGTGTGTGAGAGGCCGCCAAGGGCTTCAAGTCCATTCTCCATCGTTCATCATTTACTGCAGTCGTCATTCACATTGTCATCATCATCGTAGATTTAATTATAGATTTTAAGTATTTGGCCGATTTATGTGAGCTTGGTGGTCATTGCACCAAACCGATTCCGACCACCAAGACATCCCCCCTTATAACTAAACTCATCTTCCTCATTCCTGTGCATAAACTCAACTTCCTTGGTCCTGAAATTTAAGTATCTTTTGTCCTCATCATCGTCGTCGGTGTAGTCATAATTGGTTGCCTACCTCGCCAAAATAAGGCAGTGCACGTTAAGTGGCCTATACCAAACATATCAGGCGTCGGAGGTGATCTCACAAAATACATTTACATTTATCATTCTCTCCGTTCATCGTAATAAGCCCGAGTGCAACAATTGCCGTTGAGGATGGAATTAAAAGTAATTTTTATCTTTTTGGAACCGGCAGGTTTAATATTGGAGATACCAATAAAATTTTTGGTGAAGAATTTAGCAGCGCTTATAGGATGCCAATTGCCCATGTTTATATTTTGATCGATGCACTCGGCGAGTATAATTATGGGACCATTATAATCCGGTGTAAAAGAATGAAGTAGATTATTATTATTGTAATTGGTTGCGTGCATATCTATATCAATGTTAGTAATTGGAGACGGCGGCGTTTTATCTGTAGATAAGCTAACGACCGATGTGTGTTCAATTGTATGATTATCATCAAGTATGATATTTGAATCGGGTATGCTAATATTATCGGTTACGTCATTGAAATTAAAAGTAGCTTGAGATGTATTTAATACCGGCGGGTTTTCGATAATTAATTGAAGATTAGGTGAGAGTGGATTATTGGAGTTTTTGAGTACTTTACCCTTTTTCCCCATGGTGTTGAATCCATGAGTTGATGCAGGATTTGTTGTAACTGTGTGCTTGATTTTGGTTGTGGCTGGAGTTTGACCGGTACGGCTATTGCCGCCCGAGGTCGACGACATTTGAGAACACTAATTAGGATTAGAATTATTAAAGACCGAATTTACTTATCAGTGGAACGCACAATGACAGGACTGTACGCTACGACTGCGTGAACACGACTGATTATGAGGTGTTAATGATGGAATTTGAAAAGAAAATTGATGTTGAGAAGTGTTTTTATTTTTTTTTTTTATACATTCACAGGAAATAATTTGATAAAAGGAGCCACCCATTGATGACACTTTCTATGGTTATTAATTATTTACTTAATAATTATTATGATTTTTTTTTATTTTTTTTTTTTTACTGTAACAAATCACGACACCACTTGCGCTTTAAACGTCTTAGGGGATTACCTGGTATGGTAGTGGAGGCCAATTTTTTAATGAGTGGGTTGGAATGAGTACTTAAGGTTGTGGAATCTTTTAAAGTAACATTTGGATTCCTCAGCTATTGTTTTTAGTTTTAGGTCTGAATGGAGGGAAAAAATTGAGACGTAAGGAGGTACATTTGTTAATTTCCTCAGGGCAATGTTTTGGAATGCTTGGATTTTATTAACGTTTGTTTTTTTGCACTACCCCATAGCTGCAGACCGTACGTCCACATTGGTTTGAGTAGACTTTTATATATAAGAAGTTTGGTGCGCGTGGAGGTATATTTATTATTGTATAATACTGTTTTCAGCATTCGTAGACGATTATTTAGAGCTATTCTTTTTGTTCTTATATGGTGGGTCCAAGTAAGTCTTTGATCAAGTGTTAGACCAAGATATTTAACAGTAGGAGAGGTAAGAATGGGCGTGCCATATAAAGATACATTTGGACACAGAGCCTGTCCGAGGGTGAAGGTAGTGTGGATAGATTTGCTTTGATTAACTTTAAAACACCATATGGAAAACCCAGTTTTCCATGTAAGCAAGATGATTTTGAAGATTTAAAGAGGCAGTGCCGGATCGTTGTTGATGGAAATTATCACTTTGTCATCTGCGTAGTCGGCTACTGACGTATAAGGAGTGGTTGGTTGGTCTGAAGCATAAATGTTATAAAGAATAGGGGATAATATGCCACCTTGTGGAACACCTGCGTTTATAACTGCTATATCGGAGAAAGCAGAACCGTAGTGAATTTAAAAATGACGTTCTATGAGATACGATTTTATATTTAGATAGTAGGGAGGTGGAAGGAATCTTTTTAGCTTAAACAGTAGGCCATCATGCCAAACTTTGTCAAAAGCTTGAGAGATGTCTAAAAACACACACTTACAATATAATTTTTGTTTCAGCTCATAGGAAATAGCGTCAACTAATCTGTGCACTTGATGTATAGTCGAATGGAAAGAACAAAACCAGAATTGAGTATCTGGCAGTACGTTATTTTCAATAATAATGGGCAGTAGACGTTTTAGAATTAACCTTTCAAGTATTTTAGCAAAGAATGGTAAGTGAATAATTGGACGATAGGATGATGGAAGATCAGGAGGTTTAATTCGTTTAGGGACTAATAATTTAGGGTTAAAATTCGTTTATTATATATTAAAATTTCCAGAGTAGTGAAAAATACGAGTCTAAGAATTGCATTGAAAATGTGTGTGATATGGACGATGGCTCTTTTTAGGAGACTTCTGGCTACTTCAGCAGTAAAGAGATCGAAGCCAGGTGATTTATTGAAAGAGCTTTTTTGAATGGTATATTTAATATCGTTTGGTGTGAATGGTTTGACTGGGAAAGAGACGGGGAGTGAAGAATATAGAAACTCTTCCACCGTATTCAAATGAGCGTCGTCACTTATATTAGAGTGTGGCTGAAGTGTATCAGGTAGATGTAGTTTAAAAATATCAGCCTTTTCAGAGTCCAAGCACGTTAAACTGCCATTAGATTTTTTAATTGGAAAATTTGGGGCTTTATAACGTAATATTTGTTTTGTTGCTCTCCAGAGGCTACCTTCCTTTGGAGAGAGATTAGATAGATGGCTTTGCAAGGTTGTAGATTTAAATTTGACGAGAATTTTTTCAGGGAATTTGATAAGTGGTTATAGATTTGGCGGTGGGAAGGAAGACGAGTACGCTGAAGGAGGGCTCTGACTCTCCATTTTACAGAAATTGTAGTCTATATGTACAGCGGAAGCGAGTCTAGGATAGGAGGGGTTAGATTTGTGTTTGTAGCCGACCAGGCAGCTCTTTGAATGATATTAGTTAGTTTATTTATCCCTATATCTATGTCATCGGGTGTTTTTAGTTTAACGTTAGTGTAACAAAAATTGGTCGTGATACACACACTCACCGGGACAAAGGCGGGCAATGTGGCCAGGCTGCCGACACCGAAACACCCTGAAACATAAAATAAATACATGTCAGCAATAGTTCTTAGACGAAATTTGTATTTGATAAAAATCGACTCACTTCGCCTCTTTCCTCCACCCGAACCTCCCTGGGAGGAGTTAACAGGTGCGTTATACCTGTACACCCTTTCCGTAAAATTGATAAGTTTGTGTTACTTCCATTCTACAACACAAAAATAAAATGTAAATAAAATATATTATTTTCGCAGGTAATCCTTCTATTACCGCACCGTGTCGGATTGATTACATAAACACTTAGCTATACGACATTTCACGAACTGATGTTCAACAATATTGATATCGGTTGCCAGAGACAATGGCGTGCTCAGGAAATTTCAATGGGGGGGGGGGATATATGTTATAAATGTTTTGGTAAAAGTACATTTAAATTAATATAAAATAATTAAAAAAGTTGAAGTCAACAAAAAAAGTCAATGGGGGGGGGATATAACCCCTAACCTCCCCCCGCCCCACCTTGGGCACGCCACTGACCACAGACACATTTTTACCTATACTAATTTTATATAATTACAAATAATTATGAATTTACGAAAAAAAAATGAAACACGTGGTCTGTAGTAACCATAGACAATATACATTAGTGACATAATAATTTGGGTATAAATCTAGTTTAGCGCCCACGCAGTTTTCTAATTTTTTTTCTACCAGATAGATAGGTTTTTTTACGCTGAGAACGATGGTGCAATCAGAATTGAGCGGTCGAATTTAGTTTTTGAGTTATAGCACTTGTAAATTTTGCAAATGTTCTATGTTGTGTTAAATGACTCATTATGGCGATTCGCTTTGTAACTGGTCGTGGCGTAATGGCACTGTGGACTTGTACCTATACTTCCGATTCGGGTTCGATTCAGTCCAAGACAATAGTTTTTTTTGCATTTTTTCCCAATGTCGATTGATAAAATGGTAACCCAAACTTTTCGTTATTTCAATATCATACGCGTAATTGTAATTTAATGTTATTTTGATTTTCGTTAACGATTGTACGAATGTCAGTATGCGGATATTAAATTTTAAATGGTTTAAGATAAAGAGATATTATGTTTTCAACTATAGATAAAATATAATACCTTTTTATTTTTGGTTCATAGCTGTTTCTTACTCGGTTAACGTAACACGTACTAAAAGAAATTCTTAAGTTTTTTCTTCATTTAATAATGTGGTCTGTTGTTAAATTATTTAAATTGTTTTAGTGTAATGAAGATGGTCCGTTGTCAATGGTAGTTATTGAACAACTTCAATCGTGGGGTCTAATTGCCAAAAACAAAAGCCTTAAGTGTAAAAATGGTCATTTTGCTAAATTGTGCCCGCATGCAGATTACACTGATGGATTTGTTTGGAGGTGCAGAGAAAGGTTTTCTAAAAATAATAAAAAAATGGTTAATTGTGATTTTAAACAGTCAATACGGAAAGACACGTTCTTTGAAAAATCACACTTGTCGATTTATCGCATCGTTATGTTTTCATATCTATGGACGGAGAATGTGTCTCTTACTTTTATTAAAAGTCAAATAGATATAGCTCAACAATCCGCCGTTGATTGGGCATCTTTTCATCGAGAAGTTGTCTTCGATGGAATGATTTTACGCCATGAAAAAATTGGTAATGTTTTTTTTTTTTGTAAAAAAGCAAAAATAGTGTTTTTTTAAAATTATTTTCTACATTTATTATGAAGGTGGTGTTGGCAAAATTGTTGAAATCGACGAGTCGAAATTTGGTCGTCGAAAGTATTATAGAGGCCATCGAGTAGAGGGCCAATGGGTTTTTGGTGGTGTAGAGCGGGTAACTGGCAAATGTTTTTTAGTACCCGTTGAACGGCGTGACAAAGATACGTTACTGGCATTAATTAAAGAATGGATTTTGCCCGGTACATTGGTCATTAGTGACTGTTGGAAAGTATGTGGTTTTTTTTATTTTATTTTTATTCCTATATACTTAATATTAATTTAAGCATTTAATTTTAGAGTTATGACTGCTTAAAAGACGAGGGTTATGAACATTTAACAGTTAACCATTCAATCCAGTTTAAACATCCCGATACAGGCGCGCACACTAATAATGTAGAGGGGATGTGGCGTCATGCTAAGGCATCTATGGGCCAGTACTCGCGGAAAAAACGATTTTATGCCGGGTATTTGGCCAAGCACATTTTTTTGAAATATTGCCGAAATTTGAATTTGAACCCGTTAGATGAATTTTTTCGGTTGACGTCATTGTTATACGACCCTTCCAAACCGAAAACAGTGAATGATTCTGATAATGAAGTAGTGACAGATACATCGGAATCAGAATCTGAAGCAGAGTCTGAAAATTAATTTGGGTTTTTATAAAATATAATTAAAACATATTGTATTAATATTAATATAATTAAAATATAATATATCTGTCCTTATTTTATTAGATATTTACCACTTTCAATCATATACAATATTCCAAGCGTAATAACACGCGCAGTCAAAATTGTATGCATTTTACATTTTTTTAAACGCATTTTAACCCAATGCCTACTTGAGGTGGCGTTGCATAGCAAGTCGAGGGATATTTTCGATTTGTGCGGAGCGGAG